CCGTAATGAAAAAAAAAAAAAAAAAGGTGCAATCAAGCAAGCAATGGACTCGTACAAAAGGATAGGCAAGGACAGGAATAGGAGTCATTATGATTCTCTACAACACAACTCGACAATATGATATGATCATGTAGGACGATCACTTCTAAAGCTAGTGTGCTAAACAAAACTAGCTTTGTGAAGGTAATGCCAATACTAGGTTTTTTCATGCGACTGTCACGAGACATAAACAAAGTCGTATTCAAGCTTTGCTCAATTTGGATGGAAAACATGCCACCAATTAGGCAAAACTAAGCAACATTTTTTTCTTACTTCAAGGGATTGTACACGACTGACCAGTCACTGATAGCATTAAGTTGATCATCACAGGGGAAGATAGTGTTTCCTTTACTACCCCTCTTTTCAAGGAGAAGCTCCAACAAGTCCTTTCCCATATGCACAATGATAGATTGCTTGGCCCTGATGGTTTCAACCTAGGCTTTTATAAGCACTTTTGGCACTTTGTGGCGATGACATCCTTACATCGTAAGGATTGGCTTAATAAAGGTTCTTTGCCCGTCTCTCTTAATGAAACACTAATCGCCCTCATACCTAAGTGCAACAGACCATATTCCATGAAGAAACTTTGAGGCATATCATTATGTAACACGATCTACAAATTGTTGTCCAAAATCCTAACTAATAGGCTTAAGGTGCTTCTCGCAAAATTCATCTCCTCCAAGTAGGATGCGTCTATGGAGAACATGTTAATCACAAACAATGTTCTTCTAGCCTCAGAAATTATTCACCATATTCATTGTCAACATGAAACTCGATCAGAAGCCGCCGTTAAGATCAATGTTAGCAAGGTTTTCGACAAGATGTCTTGGAACAATACCCATGTAATCCTCTATAAGCTAGGGTTCAGATATAAGTGGATTCAATGGATGCTTATGTGTGTAGAGATTGTTCATTACCATGCTCTTGTCAACAAAGAGAAAGTTGGCCTTATTTTTTTGGGTAGTGGTCTTAAGCAAGGGGATCCTTTGTCACCTTACTTGTTCATCCTTGGCATGGAAGGTTTGTCCAAACTATTAAAAAAGGTCAAAGCTAGGGGAGAAGTCCATGAAATTTAGGCTTTTAGGCAAGGACCAATTGTAAATTTAAATTACAACCATAGCAAATATTTCGAAAACCTATGAATTAGAGTCATGATAAACTATCAATCTCAAGAAGTTAGCAATTTATTTAAGCAAAAATACTCCTATTATTGCTTGATCAATCGTTGTTAACACCTTGGGAGTGAACAAATGTTCAAATACAAGCACATACCTTGGTATTCTATCATTAGTAGGTCACAATAAGAAAGAGGTTTTTTAATTTGTTTAAGAACAAATTTGGAAATGCATCCATTCTTAGAGCAAAAAAATCCTTATCTAGGGCCAATAAAGAGGTGATGATCAAATTAGTCTTGTAAGCCATCCTCCCTAAGTATATACTATCTCCCTTAATTATTGTGTGCTAAATTAGAAAGTATGATCATCTCCTCCTTGTGGGGTTTCGATTCAAAGGTTTAGGATCAAAAATCTCAATGCATTCAATCTATCTTTGCTAGGCAAACAAGCCTAAGCCTGGCAATGAATAGTGAACCCAAACTCCCTCATTAGTTGAATTTTCAAAGCTAAATATTATCCTAATGGTGATTTTATGTCAACTTCCCTAGGTCACAACCCCAATTATACCTAATAAAGCATTTAAAGCTCAAAACATCTAGTGAAGGAAGGTTGCACGTGGAAGGTGGGGAACAATAAAAGCATCTCCATGTAGGGGGAGGCGTAGCTGAGACACAACAAAAGGAACTGTAAAATTCATACCCCAAGTAAGAGTACCTCTTAGGCTTGAAAGTTAGCATACTCATTGATTCAAATAAGGGTAGCTAGAACGTGGAACTGATTAGAATTATCTTCACCAAAGAAAACAGTAAGGCAATTAATAACATCTTGTTGACAACATATGGAAGCTACAAATCCCCTCTAAAGTCAAATCCTTCATATAGCATACTTGTTGGGACTATCTCCTCACACGTGCAAAGCTTCAAACTAGAGGCATAACCTACCCTAGCTTATGCATTCTATGTGAAAACCATATTGACAATGTCTAGCACTCCTTTCTAGGTTGTGATCTCGCAAAAAAATGTTGGAACAAGAGTTTTATAGGCAACAAACTTACACCTCTTTTTACCACATTAAGTGGTCTAAATGAGTTGATTTTTGTTGCAATACAGGATTAGAATGTTGATGAAGCTTTAGAATTTGTCATGGTAATGTGGAGCATATGGATTAGTCAAAACAACAAATTGTGGGAAGTTGCATATTGGAATCATATCGAGATCATTTCTAGGGCAAGAGAAGTTCTTAAGGATTGAAACCAAGCTCGTCAACAGGAATTGGAACCTGGTCTAAAGGAAAGAACCCCAAGTCATCACTCTTGGCAACCCCCAGCAGTTGGAAGCTTCAAATGCAACGTGGATGTTGCACTGTTCATTTTGCATGGATTGTTCAAAGCAGGCATATGCCTAGATAATCATACCGGTTTTTTCATTAATTTCACAACCTGTCACTTCACCTTGTTACCTAAGCCACACGAATGTGAAGCTTTGGCCCTATATGAGGCCTTGCAATGGGTGAAAAGTCAACATCTAAATTCTGTCACATTTGAAACAAACTGCATAAATGTGTTTCATAGCATCAATAGTTCTCATAATGATTTAACCAAATTTGGTGCTACAATTCATAACTGTAAAATCCTTCTAAATAAACTCAAAAATCGCAAGGTCAATTTCACTTCTAAACAAGCAAATTTGACTACTCACATGTTAGCCAAGGCGACCAAATTTCTAGTATAGTCGATTTTAGACATATCTATTCTTGTATTGTACAACAAATTATTAATGAACTTCAATAACACATCGCACCCACACACAGTGACACTCACAATAATAATAATAATAATAATAATAATAATAATAATAATAAGACATTTATTTAATCGAATAGAATGATTTGGTTCAATTTTTGGGAGTCAAAATCTAATATTCGAACCAAATCAATTGAATTTGTAACTTTTTAATCCAAACCAGTCCAATAATTTTCCTTTGACAAATCCATCAAATCATTGAATTGATTCAAATTTATGTTCACCTCTATGTTTAACCATTAAAAATACTTCTCTATTAAAAAAGAGATTTCTTAACTAGATTTATTAAAATGAATTTAAGAATGCAAGTTGAGTTCAGATTATTAGTCAATAACTTTAAACCCTAAATAGCAATGAGAAACATTAAAAACACAAATTAAGTTCTTACATAAGATATGCCCTACCTCTCGGAAGATCAACATAGTAAAAGTCTTTGCACAAATGCAGAGCAGTAACCTAGATTGGATAATGAAGCAACAGTTACAAATTTCATGTAGATTGTTTAGCAACATTAGAAGAGCTACACATAGATTTTATCACATAATATTTGATATGAGCTTTAGATCAGGTCTTCAATATCAACTAAGTGCTCATAAGAAATCTGTTTATTCTTTCCTTTTGGGTTCTCCTTGTTTATGGTTCATCTGGACTATGATCTACACGTTTAGCTAAGCATGATGCTCAACGTATCATAGTAGTTTCTATCCTTGACCTTCAGCTCAAACAGTCAATTTAAGCAACAATGATAACATATCAGTAACAAGCTAACAGACAAATGATATAACAGAGGCTTGTGAAGAATGTATGCAACTCTGCTTATATCAATTTTAACTTTTAAGGTCTCACAACCCTAATAGCTTTTATACTTCTTTTAGTACATCAAAGAGTTTTTAACATGAATTTATAACCTCTATCCTAATTCCCACCCCAATTCCGCATTTTAGGAATTGGTTGTTACTATTATATATTATACTTTCACAACACACAGATTTTTAAACTACTTCTCCTATCCATAATTACTACCCTAAATAAAGGTGTTTGATATAATTCCAAACATCTAGAACAATTAAATATATGATATTTAGGTATAAGACGTATGGAAATTCAAGACCCCTTATGTTTTGACCATGAAGGATCTTGAATTTCCATACATCATATACACGAATATCCCATATTGAAGTGTTCACGATGCTTGGAATTTATGATTCTTCAGACGTGTGATGAGGTAAAATTAAAAATATGCTTAATTTTGAAGACCAATAATTTTACCCACTTAACGTGGCTGGCGAACGGTTTATCTGAGACAGGTAGGCGCTTTGTAAACCAAGCAATTGGCCATGACATAGCTGCAATTCCAATACAAATTCCCCATTGCTCCCATGTTAATCTCTCTGTATCAGCAAACTTCCTTAGGAGTTCCACCATCACAACTTGAAGAACCACAGTAATGCCCACAATTCCAAGAAACAAGTGGTTTTTGAGAATGCCTTCGAATACATTAAGTTTCTCCATACTTCTAGAGTTGAACTCGTTGAAAACTTGGCAGAGAACAAAAGCATTAAAAATTAGAGTATCCTTTACCTCCTCATTTACATTGAAGATTGACTTTCCATTGAATTGTAAAACCAAGAGGACAGCAATCTGATATAAAGCTTGAGCTAAAAGGTTTCTCCACATAATACTAGTAATAAGAGGCTCAGTTCTACCCACTGGCTTTTTCTCCATTAACTCCTTTGTAGGCCTTTCTGTGGCCAGTGCCAAAGCTCCTAGAGTATCCATAATGAGATTTACCCATAATAGTTGAACTGTTGTTAGGGGAACATCTCCCGAAGAAACTGCTGCAATAAAATTGATCACTAGAGCTGCAACATTCACGGTTAGTTGAAACTGGATGAATTTCTGGATGTTGTTGTAAACACATCGGCCCCACCTTAATACAGTGGCAACAGAATTGAAGTTGTCGTCTAAGATGACAATGTCAGAACTCTCCTTGGCAACCTCAGTTCCTTGGATCCCCATAGAAAGCCCAATATCAGCTTCTTTAAGTGCAGGTGCATCATTCGTGCCATCTCCTGTGACTGCAACAACATGGCCTTTCTTTTTCAAGCATTGCACCATCAAATGCTTGTCCAAAGGGGATGATCTCGCCATCACACGGATCTTGTCAACTTTCTCCATTCTAACTTCCTCCGTGTAGTTCCTGAATTCCATACCTTCCACCACTTCTCCCGGGTTCACGTGGCCATCAAGGTCTAATATTCCACATTCTGTTGCTATTGCCCTTGCAGTGAATATGTTATCTCCAGTAATCATCTTGATACTAACTCCTGCAAGTTTACAAGTTTCCACAGCCTTCTTGACGTCGGGTCGGCATGGATCCTTGAGGCCAACAATGCCTAACAAGGTCAAGCCATTTTTTCTAAGGATTTGATGTGCATTCTCCTTATCGTTATAATCAATGTCTTCTGAAATCTGCATGTGAGCAAATGCGATACATCGTAGGCTACAAGCAGCCATGCCTTGTATTATCTTCTCAAGTTTACTCCGTTCTTCATCAAGAGACTTCTCTATGCCGTTATTGTCAATATAATTCGAACACATATCAAGTATAATCTCTGCAGCACCTTTCCAATGCACGTGAACTGTGTTGTTGGTCTCCTTCTTTATCGCAATGCCACTTCGTTTCTTCTCTGAGTTAAATGTTTCAACATGGAGAACTTTATGTGTGCTCTTCAGTTCATCCATGTCCATGCCTAAATCAGATACGGCCCACAAGAGTATAGCTTTCTCTGTCGGACTACCAGAAATTTCAGGTTCAGATGTCGATGAAGCTTTATAGACACTGCCAGTTGTGTTAAGGCCAACTGCTTGGTGGAATAACTGAAGAACATTAGAGGCCATTGCATTGGAAAAGTTTTCCATAACATTTTCTAGGCCAAGCCAAAACTTGGTGACTCTCATTTGATTTAAAGTTAAGGTGCCAGTTTTATCGGTGCAAATAACTGTTGCTGACCCCATGGTTTCACAAGCAGAAAGTTTCCTAACCATTGCTTGGTCTGCCATCATTCTTTTCATGGAGTAAGCTAGTGTAAGAGTGACAGCCAATGGCAGACCCTCCGGGATTGCCACAACCACAATAGTGACTGCAGCTGCAACAATACGCACAACCGCATTGAAAACGTCATTTATATCGGTCTTACTCCCCTGGAACTCCTTATTCCCTTTATCGTCTTGAGTGTTTCCGGTGAAATAACGTATTAACAAGACTATGAGAACAAAAAAAGCGACTGTGAGGCCTACCTTTCCAATGGAAGAGGTTAACTTGTCAAGGCGAGCCTGTAATGGTGTCCTTTCGTTGGTGTCTCGTGATATTGAGCTCATCATTTCACCCCATGCTGTGTTGGTTCCGACAGATGTCACAAGCATCTGAGCAAAACCATCCACAACTTTTGCACCAGACAACAAGAAGGGGCTTTTTAAGGGCTCAATTTCTACGTGGTCGCTCTCACCTGTCATACTTGATTCATCCACATGCAAAGAATGGCCACTCATGAACAATCCATCAGCTGGAATTTGATCACCAATCTTGAGGGACACAATATCCCCCACAAGAACTTCAAAGATGGATATCTGCTGCGGCCTTCCATTTCTCACAACTTCTACTTTGATGTCGTTGCTTATCTTAGACAATTTGTCAAATTGTCTCTCTTGTCTGAAGTTGCTGAGTGCAGTGACAACCACTACCAGAAAGACTGCTACAAATATACTCCCCCCTTCGTACCAGCCTTCACCTGGTCCATGCTCTTTTATGCCAAAGCCAAGGGAAAGGCCAGCACAAACAAGAAGGATCAGAATAGTGGTGTCATTGAAAGCTTCCACCACAAAGCTCAGGAAGACCTTGGGAGGTGGCCTCTGGTAAGTGTTTGAACCAAATAAATCACGCCTTTGGGCGATGTCATCATCACTGCCAGTGATTCCCTTTGCTGGAGTGGTTCCAAGAATATTGGCAACACCTTCAACTCCTCCAAACTCATTAAAGGCTAACAAGTTTTTGTCCTTTACCATACTAGCAAGTCTGGCCTTGTCAACATCAGGAACCAAAGAGTAATGATTGGTTCCATGTTGGGGAATCAGAGGCTCAATTATATCAATAGTGTTGGTGGAATTGGAAGACTGAGTTTGGAAGAGTTTAGAGTAGGGATTGGAGTTTGTATTTCTTTTAGATATGACTTCTTTGGCCAGGGCAAGCATCACACGTCTAGAATAAATGGCTGTATAAGCAAAACGCCATCTTTTTTTGGCTTTGTTGATGGTGTAATTAACTGTGGTGGCTATGTCAATGATAAATGAGCTGCCATGACCATCATATTTCATATTTTGGCTGCTTGTCATGGTGGATTTTGTCAGAAAATCAGAGTGGTAAAGTACTTAAGTGAGTAGGAAAGAACTTCATTCTGTGAATTCAATGCTGGCTATCTATTTAAAAGCTCATATTTCGTGCCAGAGGCTCCATAGGGAAATTTCCGGGTAGCTTCCTAATTCCTATTCCTATGCCAAACAACTGTCTTGTTTTTTTATAGTCCAAATCCAATTTGGTCAAACTTTAAAAGGACACGCTATATGCACACATTCTAGCCGCACTAGCCAAATTGATCCTGAGAAGAAAGCTGCAACTTTGATTTCAGAACCTGAATTACTGAAGTTGGGAATGGGAATCTAATGCATTCACAATACAAGTGAGCTAACGACACAATTGCTATTTTATTTCGATAAATCAAAATTACAAATAAGCAAGATTTGAACAGTCTGATTTATTGATTTGAATCTAGATCGGTTTGGTATAATGAAACTCAAATTTAACATAAGAACAGCACAACTGGCGAATGTAAAAGATATTTGTTATTTATATTAATATAGATTTGTGTTGAAGCCGACATAGAGATGAGTAGTCGGAAAGATAGTCTCCATTGCCATTGAAATTGAATACTATTTTTTATAACCGTGGGAACATACACTTGCGTGAGTAATGAACGAGGAGACACATGCACTTGATTGGGTACAACACAATCACAATGAGCTCGCGTGGAAGCTAATGGCCTAATTAATCCTAACAAACAACTAGGACAAATTGAATAAGGGCACAGTGTAATAAGTCCTTGTTGACTTGGTCTGGCTCTGGCTTATGTATGTTTGGAACTAATCACCAACGCACGTCTTTAATATCTCTCCACATTTATTAAAGTAGAAGATGGTGTCCAAACACACTTGTTATTGTCCTTTTTGTAAATTACAATAATAGGTGGCTCGCTCCATGTTTGATCATAAGATTCTTAATTACCAACATATTTCTCAAAAACTCCTGCTAATGGCATGCCGTCCTGGCCGGACATGGATTTTGCGTCCAAATTCCGTATATATATATGTATATGTGTGAGAGAAAAGATTTCGATTGTTTTTTCGTTTGCTTCAATGCATCCTTCAATGATAAAAGAATACATAATATCATTTCTATCATTATTCAATCTTATGTGTAAAGTAGATAAAACCTATATATGATAGGTATCTAATATAGCGATACAACTAATTTAAAATATACATGATACAATGTGTAAATGTGTAAAATGCGTGTCTTCATATATATCAAAATTTATAAAATATAATATGTAATTGTAATTTTTATCAAAATTTATAAACACAATAAATACATAATTGCAATTTGCAAATCAATTGAAAACATACTTTGTAAAAAAAATGAAAAGATACTTGTACATTAATAACAAATAAATCATAAATCATTTCATCATAAATTATTTTTTATTATTTACAAATGAAAATAAAATTTTCAATATGATTTCTTTCTTAAAATCATTCATATAAAAGATAATTTCAATTTTTGGTTTATTATAAGACAATTTTTATAATATTTTTAAAGGCTTTGATAATTTACCAATACATATTGATAAGATATCGAGAGCAGGGACGGATCTAGGTTATGTATAGTGGGGGCACTTGCCCCCACTACCATTTGATACACACATATTTTTTATTTAAAAAATAATATATTTTAAAAAATAAAAAATATATTTTAATAAAATAATCATATATTTTAAATTATAATTTGTATAAAATATAAATTTCAAGCAAATATTCATTTATTTGATATCTGTCAAACTTTTAAAAAAGATTAATTCTCTTATGTAATAAAGAATATTCTTCAATAACTTTTGTCAGGTGCAATCTCGTTCCTGTCATAGCGGTGTTTTCTATTTATTATATATGGCGATTAAAAAAATCAAAATAGTAAGATTATATATGTTGATTAAAAAAATCAAAATAGGAAAGATCGGAAGATTTATGTTCTATTTAGAATTTTTATTATAAATTATATTTTAAAATAAATTATCATCTAAAAATATATATTAGATATTAAAAACATGTTTATATCATAAATAAATTAAACTTGGTTTTTATAAAATTTAACATTTATTTTTATATTTTTATTAGTGTTAAATTATTTTAAAGTAGGTCTTTAGGATTATAATTCTAACCAAATATTTGAAAAAATGTTTACAGCAGATAAATTATAATATAATCTAGTCGGACCTAATTATTTTTATTTTTAATTATAACCGTAGATATAGAATCTTGTAAAAAATAATTATGATATATTTATATTTTTAAAAATTATATGTAAAATTTTTAATATTACTAATATACGAATAAATATTGTCCCAACTATCTAAAATTTCTGAATCCATCACTGACTATAAATATACGAATAAATATTACCCTCACTATCTAAATTTTCTGGATACGTCACTGATTGAGAGTGTCAATTTTGGATACAAACATGCAAAGTAAATTAAAGTATTTGTGTTTGATAGGATAGAAAAGAGTCGGTTTAAATAAAATTTAAAATAATTGAGCCTAGAAGTGATGAATAAATTCACATGAAATAAAGAAAACGTATTATTAATATTTTCTCAATAAATGGTAAAATAATTAAGGATGTAAAAGAACACTTACTCACAAGACATATAAGAATTAACAAAGAAATTTGTACAGAGTTGTAATAAAGAAAAAAACGTTAACACCACAACTGCAAAAGACAGGGAATAATTTAGTCATCTAGTGTACTTTCCCCCCATTTTCTAGGTTGGAAGAAGATTTACTAATCCTAAGTTCGTGACAACTATTCTTCAGATCATGTATATTTTATACGACTATGGATTATGGAAAGCGTGAAATTATTCTATTATTCGTGACGACGTAAACAATGGACATCATCAAAATTTGCGGCATCGTTCATACCATTCAACCCGAATGGCAATTGACAAGCAATTACATCCTGACACGTCTGGAGTCCTCGTGCTGGGCCTCGGCGGCACATAATATGGGAAATTTAACAGCGACTACCAACACTTTCATTTCAGTTTCTTTATTTTTCTCTTTTCATTATTTTCTCTTATTATCCTTTCAAATTTTTAACTAATAAAAGAAATTAAATCTCTTATGGAACATTATCAACCCACTATTGTTTCTTTTAATACGTTTCCAATTAGCTAACTTAAAGAAGTCTAATTGTCAGCTATTACTCATTTCAGATAAACAAAGAACAATAGCTAGATAACTAAAAAAGAACAATGATTAAATAAAATTAAATAACCCTTTTTCTTCGATTAAATCCTTATAATTTTGATATACTCTTTTTTTACCATCACAAATTAAAGATTTCTATCATGTTAACACAAAATAAACAATATTAAAAAAAATTAATGGTAGTAACTAAAAAATTAAAAAACTGAAAACTTAAGTTATAGGAATTAAAAATAATTGAAAAGGATAAATATAAGAACTAAAATGTCTATTTTAAATTATAAAAATTAAAAAATAAAGTATGAGAAATTAGGAATAAAAAAGTATTTTATCATATATAATACAAAGGTCAATGAGTCAATATCAATCGGCCGTTTCAACTAAGGCACAAGAGTGTATTATTAGGCAGCATAATACAGTAAACTAAAACGACAATAGAATTCATCGAAGCAAACAATAGAGTGCTATTTTCTTTTACGAAGACTGCAACAGTAACTAGACTCTAGGGGCAATCTTCGATGACATGTTAATCTTTAGACTTATTACATTTCTGAATTCATAGCCTAGTATTTAGGCAATTTTAGTCCCCATTTCTAAACTCTATAACTTTAGTCTATTTAATAAAGTATCTAATATTTATCGAAAATGCTATTTCATATGTAGTGTGTTTGGAAAAACTATAAAAGTAGGGGTGCATTCGTCAGGATCGACCATCAAACCCGACATGTATGATTAGTTTAAAAACAATTAAAATGATTTTTAATATTATTTATAATTAATATTTTAGTCTGTATGATACAGATTAAATATTTATTATATATAACTAAATTTAAAACAAATTATGCATATAAATAAATATTATGTTTAGATATATAAACTATATTAAAAAATTGATGAATACATATTTTTAAATATAAAAATTAAATTTTAAATTTATAATAAATCATTTATATTATAACATAATTTATTTTTATTTGTTAATAATTTATTTTAAAATATTAAAATTTAATTCATAAATAATTATAATAAAAAAATTAAATTAGATATAAAGTTAAAGAAACTATTAAAAGCTCTTTAATTAAAGGAAAATCTTTAAAAATACTCTCACAAAAGGTTGTTTGTATTTTATATATAAGAGTTGATTTCATATTACTATTAAATTTAAATTATTAATATCTTATGTTTAATAACGACATTCATAATCGAATACAATATTGTTCTATAATTTTATACTAAAAGAAATGAAAATTAAAACACAAAATTATTAAGATAATTTTAATAATAATAACAATATTATTATAGTTCAAAAATATTAACTTTCCATAGAGAGAATTTAAATATACTTTATTTTTAATCTATTTAAACAATACTTTTTTGACAAATAATATGAATTATGAAGTAAAAAATGAGTTAGCATCAAAAATATTTTTATTAATTAAAATATATTATCTGACATCTTATGAGGTATTAGCAAGCTAAAGCTCTCTTAGCAAAGTTCGTTAAGACAAGTGAGATTCAAATTTCAACTAATGCATGAATTTCTAATTAAATTTATCACTTTATTCTCGTAGAAATCAATCCCATGAAAATGAATTATACTTCTTTATTTAAAAAAATATATATACAAATAGAGGTATTTCTAGCATAAGTTTGTTATCATTGTTAAGGTCACCACATTCGAAATATTGTCTGCTTTAATTCATTGGACTGTCACGACTTTGTCCTTTAAAAAGGACCTCGATGGATTAAGGAAAGAGGGTATTTATAAACTACCCTTAACCTCGACTCTTAATCGATGTGAGACTTTTAGACATACCGGAACAAGCCCCTCATTCGATGCTAAAGGGCAAGAATGGCCTAGGCCCTTCTTCTAGAACCAAATGTTCATACCGTAAGTTCATTGTCATTGTTAGGGTCACTGCATCCGAGATATTGTCCGTTTTGGCTCGCTGAACCGTCACGGTTTTCTCCTTTAAAATGCACCTTAATGGATTAAAAAAGGAAGGTGTTTACAAACTACCTTTAACCTCGATTTCTTATCGATGTGGGACTTTTAAGCATACCCGAACAAAAAGTAAAGTAAACATTTCAAAAAATACTTAAAACCAATTAAATAAATTTAATCATTCTTAAAAATGTGATTTATGATTTTCAAGAACTAAGATTTCCGAACATCAAAAGAATTTCCATCTACCAACCACATCCTTGATGTAAAGTTAAAATGGGAACCAAAATTACCTAAATTAAAAAATATAAATGACTAAAATCAAGTAACTAAATATTACGACTCATATCAACAATCACTTATTAACCGTAGCACCACTGCTTCAACACACTCAAATTTGTTATTTTTATCTAATATTCGATGTCCACAAAATAGTTCTACAATTTGAAACAAGACCAAAATTAAGCAATAAAATTTTTGAGAACCAAATTGCCCAAATACTATATTGTGGAGACCAAGAATAGATTAAACCTAATACTGGTAGCGGTAAGGAAATACATTAACTGAAAAGCAACCATGCCTTTTTCCCAGCATTATTTCTCAATTTTAAAATTGGTTTAGTATCCTACTTTCTACTTTCTAGTCCCTCCACAGTGACTGAGAGGCTACATCTCCTACCCTACTTTCCAAAGCAGACAAACTGCACATAGAGGGTAGGTATGGAGAAGACTTGACGCGGAGACGAAAACATACTTCAATAACTAAACAAACACTTTAATGCACAGCTAAAGTAGAAGAAAAAAAAAGTGCGTTTACACAAAGTTAATACGAATAGAAAGGTTAGTCATGTCACATGATCTGTGCTCTCCCTCTTTTTCCAACTTTAATACTCCCTATGTATAGTCATTGTTGACTATGGAAACTACCTAGTAACTTCGCCACCGAATTTTTGTGGACTTTTCCCCTGTATATATTAAACCACCGACTTTCAGACGGAAAATACCGAGTAATTTCCTGAAAATGACATTTGGAATCGTCAAGCTCAAGAAAAATACTGGAACCTGACACATACTTTGTTGCCCATCACTCATCTATAAATCTTCGCAACACCTTCAACGTCGACAGCCACAGAAACACAGGATTTTTTTTTGGTGAAAAAGAAAGGGATTAAAGATGTTCTGATAAAAATAAAAAGAAATAAAGCAAATGAAAATATAGAGGCAAATAGTGTAAATGAAAATACACGAAAAATAAGAGAATTTTTAGTGTTTAATTTGAGAGAAATAAAAATAAAATTTAGAAGAAATTATATTGAAATTTCTCCTTAGCTTGTTTGTTTTATCATGAAAAAAGAGGTGATAATAGAGAGAAAAAGACAATTTTATTACCATGTATCAAATTATTATTATAAAAACTGAATAAACCCCTAATATGGAGTTGACAATTGATTATTAAAAACGAGGTAGAGAGTACATTATATAAAATAAAGAAAAAAGGTTGATCATAAAAAAATATAGGTTGGGCTTAGAATCAATTATAAAATGAAAAGAACCGGTTGTTACTAACAAAACCGATTATTATGAGACTTAGAGGTGTTCGACTTCGGCACTCAGTTTTTTTTTTTTTTTTTTAGTAAATGCACTCCCAGTTATTTCTCACACTTCCCCGCTATTTCTCCTTTTCTATGCACGAAAAATCTTTTATGTGAGACCCACATACTTTTAATTTGATTTCTTTATATTTCATCCTCACTAAACAATGTCAAATTCTAAACGTCTCTAACCTACCCGCTCCTCTATATTTCCATGCTGTTCCTCTTTTACAAGTGAGTTCTCATCTATTTATTGAATGAATCGCAATATCCAAATAAATAATGACTAGCATAAAATGGTTATCAAGAATTATGTGTAATAAAACTAATTTCCTAAAACAATAATACTAATATCATTGGATCAGGTCATCATATTTATAAAATGATAACTAGAGATCAGAACCAATGAAAATCAGGTTTCATAAGTTCAGTTTGGTTTGAGCCCAAACATGAAGAAAGAAAAAATTAAACTAAGCCAAGCTAAGCTAATTTAGAATGTATTTGGCATGACATTAGAAGCTAAGCTCCTTAACTTATAAGTTAATTTAATAAAAATAAATTTGTTTAATACAAAAAAATATTTTAGTAACTTTTAACTTATTTTTATAAACTAATTGAAATAATTCATACCTTATAAGTTCTTAACCTCTTTTTTTATTTTTTATTCTTATTAATTAACTTGAAAAAAAAAATATCCTTTATAATTTAGAAATAATTTTGTCTATCATAAAAATTATTTTATGTTATTTTACATTTATCAACTAACTTATAGGTTAATCTTATCAAATACTTCTAATTCAATTAAAAGTAAAAAGTCTATAGCTTATGATGTTGGGCAAGAGCTACTTCCACTTGGATGTTTAAGTGAATACAGCAGGGGAACTCTCTTCCCTCCCCTTGTTTGAGAGCTAAAGATGGAGTGAAGGAATAAATTATATAATGCAAATTCCAATATAGTCCTAATGTTGCAAAGTTGCAATCATATCTGCAAGGCCTAACAGTATACGTGTAATTTAATAAATTATTCTTGGGGATCATTTTTACATGCAATTTTATTTTGGAAACTTGTAATGAACATGGGAGTACAAGTAAAATTCCCACATGATAAAATATTTCACAAACTAAATGCCCCACAATGTCAAAGGTATTAGAAATTAACAAATTGAGAAGGCCCCGTTTGCAAATTGCAATTAGAGAGAGAGAAAGAAAAGGGATGACTTTAAGGAGAATGGTCAATAGAAATAGGCCCAACCCTATCCAGTTGTCCAACATTCATGTTTGGCAAGCGAAATTACCAAGTGTCTAAACTTTGTTCAGGCCAGCAACTCTAGTGGGCCAAAACATGCAAAAGAGATTTGGCCCATAAAACCCTGGGTAATAGAAGACATCGGGACATCTTTCCCCAACATGCTAGTCTACCCAAAAAAATGGGAAGCTTCATTGATTTACATTCAAGAATAATCTTATGACTTCTAACCCAACCCTAATTTCTCCCTTGATACCTGAGCTATTCCCAAGTGGCTAAAGGAACCATTAATTTGTTTAACTTCTGAATTGAAATTACCAGAGGTTAATCGATGGACATCCGATGCAGAGAGGAGCATGGAAAACGAACTACAGATAATAACAGTGTATCAATAATTAATAAATATAAAATATAATGTATCTCAAACATCATAATATGTCTGAACCCTCAACCAAGGACACCAGTAAAGCTAATCCAGGCAGAATGTCTACTAAACTAAGAATGAAACTTGATTCCCAAACTCAATCAAACAACCCCCAGATCAAGTTGGTCCGAATATGCAGACTCAAAAATCTAAGCTTTAATCTGCCTAGTCAGTTTAGGCAAGCAAATAAACTGTTAATCCTACCCTTAAAAACCCCTTCAACAATAAAAACCAACCATGCAAGAGAAGGCAAAATAAACACATATGAGAATAGTATGCACTAAAAAGAGGTCAGGCTTCCATAGAGCAAGGTAAAATATCGGCCAAAGTGCCAAACAGATAAACATTATCACAGCCCGGTAAAAAGGAATTACTTAAGGGATATATTTTCAGATTTAATTCAATTAGACTCCAGCACAACCCCTCTGTTCATTTTACCTTACGAAACGTTCAAATAGATGGGACTATAGTGTACTTTTTATTTTATGATGCCACTGCACAAACCTGACCCCTATGCAACTTACTAATAAAATGATAATTGGAACAAAATCCAAATATTAGAGTGAAGCAAAACCTGGATACTTGATTCACTATGCTGTGTGAGATGACAATTCTGATAACTTCTGCACCAACCAAAGAAGGAAGAAGTTACTGCCAAGCCATAGGCATCTTGAAATAATTGATTGACGATGAAACTTCAAAATTTCGTTCAATTAACATTATGTTTATATATACTATGTGAGGCATCAAAACACTACCTAGTCTGTAACAGTTGACATTTTCAGGCAAAACATAAGAATGCCAAAATTGGCGGATAGCATCAGCAGTTAATAAAGTTGGTATATGATTTCTATTTTCTACTAAATCATGATTCATGACCCAATCACAAATACAAACAATTGTCTATGACTATGATATCAATACCACCCATTCTATGACATTAATTTATCAATTTATACAAATAATGGCAAACCACACAGGTAATTTTCACACTGAAGTATAAGATCCGACAAAATTCCGGAGATTTCAGATTCCATGTTTAATTTTACAATTAAAATTGTCTTCAACATTAACACAGAACACCCAAGAGTAGAAATCCAAGATTCTTATATTTCCATGACATTAGCAACCCAAACACATGGATGCAAAATTCCAGCATATCTCACACATACTAGTCTGAAAAATAGCAACGCACAACGCATCTACACATCTCAAAGGAAAAAGGGATTTCTTGATTTCTTTTAGGCATGACACACCGTGGAGCTAAGAAGTTGTTTGGTATAAACTTCTAAAAAAGAATAATAGAAGAGAAAAATAAAATAAGTATTTCCATTTTTTGGAAAAGCTATAGAGTTTTTACAAATTATTTCTCATAAAAGTACTTTTTGAGGCCCTAAGCCAATAAGTTAAAAGCACTTAAAACACAAGCATGGGAATTCCAAAATGCTACCTCCGGTGTCAAAGGACAAATTTAAGCTCAGTTTCCGGTGCCATGTTGCCGCTCACCCAAAACGCATTGCACATAATAATCAGATCCCACCAACTCACTAGCCCTGCAATTGGTCACTCCCAAATCACCACCACCACCCAACTGACTCATCAACCACAAGCTCTTCTCGCTCCCAGACATCGAAGCCCAACCAATCAACTTCACAGCATCCTTGTAACTCAAAACCCCTTTCCTAACCCTAATCCGCGCGTCCCTGAAGGGAACCACACACTTGTCCCTGGCGAAGCCAACGCACTTCTCCTTCGCCGCGGCGAAACATTCCGCCATCTCGCGCACTTCGCACTGCTCCCGCTCCTTCAGATCGGAGAGTTTGGGACCCGCCAGAGCCTTCCACCACGGAGGCATGCACTTTCGCGAAGCGCTCACGGCGCACCCGATCCTCGCCCCCTCCTCGCACTGCTCCACGATTTTGCGCTCGCAGGCCGTGAACGAGGACGCCCACGCGCGCGAGTCTCGGAAGGCCAGCACGTACGGACCCTCCGACAGGTCGTCGGAGGGACCCGCCGGTAACGGTCCCCGGAGCAAGGGAACGGGGCGGTCGAAGTTGATGACGGTTGAAGAAGGCGAGTATTCGTCGACATTGTCGGGTACCGATGTGTCCGTCGCCATCGCTGGTGTTAGGGTTTCGGGATTCGGGCTAATCGATGGGGAAAGTCGGAAATCAAATGAGTAATGAGCAGAGAAGCAGAATTAACGTGTTAAAGTGAATCCAAATTCAGAAAGTTCTCCGTGCTGAAGCTGGACGGGGATAACGCCGTCGCATGGGGCTGCGCCGCCAACGCCGGCGGTTTTATGTTTCTAGATGCTTGGGACAGTCGTCGTGTCTCGGATATAAAGGGGAAAAAAACGGCGCCAAGATAAGAGGGAAAAACGAAAGAAGAATTTTTTGTTACAAAACGAGAGGGGGTACTTACAAATTGCAATCCTTATATTTTCATTGTGACGTATTTTATTTTTCTTATTTTTTGAAAGCAAATAAAACCTCTTTTTCTTATCTACTCTGGTAGAAAATGTTAATTTTTGTTTGAAAAACTGTTCAATTATTTAAGCTTCTCATTACATTACATATATGTAAAACAAGTAACATTCGTTAAATTTAGGTTTAATATATTATTTAGTCCTTTAATTTTTATTTTAAAAAAAATAAACTAAATGTTATAATATTTTTGATAATTTAGTTTTTGTGATTAGAAGTTTGTTTATTATCCATTAAATTTGATAAAATATTTTTTATATCTTCGTATTTAAAACATTATATTAAATTAATATTTTTATCATCATTTATCTATATTATGTTTTAATTTTTATAATATTCCTCATTATTAATCTCATATGCTCTTAATCTCTTATTATTGAAATTAGTTCAATTACTCTGTCCATAAACATAATTTTTTAAATTGTTTTCAAGTGGTTGTTTAAGTAGAGATATGAAAAATATTATGTTAAATTTCACACATTATAAATCTACTATAATTTCAAATGCTAAATTACAAAAATATAAAAAAATAAATAAATAAAGGACTTAACTACAACTTTTTTGTTTTAGAACTTTATTAAAAAATTCAAAAAAGTTAAATGATCAAGGTATTACATCCACTTGGAGCTACTATTATTGATAAATATCTCAAGGTTATACCTACACAAATTAAAATAAAACTAACTTTATAGAAATTTGAAGGCTAATTTTCTAGAAAAGTCTTTAATAATCAACTTTGCAATTCCATCAATTAACTTATAGATAAATATTTTGACATAGTTACTCAAAGATTTATTAAGAGATGTATTGGATCAGAATTTTAATAAATTTTAAAATATTTTTTATTATAAAAAAACATGTGGTATTCAATAAAAAAATAATATAAAAAAAGTCATGTGGCATTCAATTAAGTCGAATATAAATTTTTTTAAATGTCAATTAAAATCTGATGGTATTTAATTAAGATAATAGAAAAAATTAGAAGTCCATCAAAATTTGGTGATATTTAATTAAGATTTTTTTTCACTTAAAAATATCTATTAATATTAAAAAAACATAAAGATTTCAATTAATTATTTAAAATAATAAATTTTGTGAGACTTTTTTTATATATAATTTACATGTAATTTACTTATCAAACAATGGCTATTTTTTCTTTCTATTTATACTCTTTTTTTTTTCTTTGATATTTTTTGCTTCTTTATTACATTCTTTTTCTCTCTTCTTTTTCTCGTCATTCTTGTTCCTCTCTCTTTGTTTCTTTTTTATATTTTTTTCTCTTTTTCTTTTTATCAATCTCTCTCATTTATCTCTTTTTTTTTATTCTACATCTCATATTTTTTTATTCATCTCTCTTATAATGAATTTTGTGAGATTTTTTATTATAATTTACATGTAATTCACTCATCAAACAATCTTATCAAAATTATTGATATTTCACATGACTTTTTTTCGTTTTATTTATACTTTTGTTCTTTTTTTTTCTTTCTTAAATATTTCTCTCTCTCCTTCTCTCTCTCCCTCTCTCTTTTTTTTCTCTCTCATTTTCTCTTTTTTTATTCATTTTCTCATTTATCTTTTTTTTTCTTTGTCTAATATTTTTTTTCTCTATTGTCGTTCTTGTTTCTCTCTTCTCTCTTGCTTTTTTTATCTCTTTTCTCTTTATCTTTTTATTCTTTTCTCATTTATCTCTTATTCTTCTCTTGTCTTTTTTTACCTATCAATTGATGTATAATTTATCAAAATTTATTTATTTAATTATTGAATATTTAAAATGATTTTTATATTATTAAATATTATCTATTATTAAATTTAAATAATTTAATTAGTAAAACTTAATTATTTATTTTTAATCAAATTTAATATTGAAATATAAAATTTTGAAACATATATTAAAAAGACTTTACGAGTCATGATAATGATTTTCTAAATAAAAATGAAAATTTCAATTTACGTCATGCATTGTTAATAAATGTGTTTGAGATAATATTTAATATTTTTAAATCATGTTTCATAATTTTTAAGTTATAATCTTTATTTCTATTTAAAACAGAAGTTGAACTTGTATTAGCGTGTAATATTACATAACTTTATTCGCAAATAATATTATTCTAATAAATTTTTAATTGAATTAGTAGATAAATCTTCATCTTCAATGTTACCAGTTAATGAAGATTATAATTTTAAATATATTATTCAAATTCAAGTACATGAAAAAAAACATGTCAATACCTGATAGGCTAGTATAACTTTAGATATGTGGAGAAATATTAATTAGGAAGACATTAAAGTTAATTATTTATCAAAAGATAAAAAAAATTGTGTTGATTTTATTTTTTCTATTATTTTTTTATTAAATCTTTTAATATTACAAATTTGTATTTTTTATGAAATCTATAAAATTATTTAAAATATTATAATATAAATTCATCAAAATCTATTAAATCTAAATTAAAAAGTTTTAATTAAAAAAATTAAAGTTATAAAATTCTTATAAAATCTTTTAATATCCATTAGAATGTACAATACTTCTTTATGCTAAAATTAATTTTTTTGAAATCTTAATTTAATATACTCTCCCTAGTTATTGAAGAGGTAACTTAGTCACACCTAAATTCACACATCCAAGCTAACTTATTTAAACATAGTTACACCTAAACTCACTTATTTACATCCAAACCAAATTATTTAAATATAGTTACACTTAAATTGGCTTAATCACATCCAAGCCAACTTATTCATATTTAAGCCAACTTATAAACGATTATGCGTGATGTAAGACGCCTTTAACAAACTATCCACGTAATATAACAACTTTGTTTCTTTTAATTCTTTGATAATTATAAATATGAATTTTCATCATCGTAGAGGGGAGTTGTACATGTACTGCCAAACAACATGTAAAATTTTCAACAACATTACATGAGCCATTGTACAAAGAAATAAAAGTATTTACAAATGAGATTATTTGAGCATCATAATCCTCGCAAATTCTTCAAAGTTAACTTGTCCATCCCCATCCAAATCCGCCTCTCTAATCATTTGTTCAGCTTCTTCTTCTGTCAGCCTCTCTCCCAAATTCATCATTACGTGCCTCAGCTGTTAAAAATCAAAAGTGAATAAACAAATGAATTATTGAATAAATAAAAATTTGTTTTTCTTTACACCAACAACAGACGAACAAATACTTAATTTGATCTGAATAGCATGTTAATTTACCTCAGTGGCAGATATGTATCCATCTTGATCTCTATCAAATACTTTGAATGCTTCTTTGAGCTCTTCGGCTACAGTTTCCTATAAATTTTGAGTGTAACATAATATCATTAGCCTCAAACTGCTAAACTTTTCGTCAATGTTAATGCTATGACTAGTTTATCTTACCTTCATTTTTCTACCCATAATATTCAAGAACTCTTCAAAATCTATGCTCCCATTCCCATCAACATCCACTTCACCAATCATGTCTTGGATTTCTTCTTTTGTTGGATTCCCATCTAGTGATCGGATAATAGCTGCCAATTCGTCCACGGTAATGAATCCTAAACATCACCAATAATTCCAGCAAGTCAAAATCAATTCAAAATTCCTTTTTCACATCAAAATCAAAGCCAAGCCAAGAAATCATCAAGGTGAAAAGAAAAGAAACACACCATCAGAGTCCTTGTCAATGAGGCAAAAGGCTTCATGGAATTCAGCAATCTGATCTTCTGTGAGTGCACTTGCCATTATTTGTTATCAAGTATATCAACAAAAGTGGAAAAGCAAGAAATTTCAGAATGAGCAATTTGTTACCTAGTTATCTTCATTTTAGTTATACTTATATATATAGATGTGTCGTGTCATGTCATGTAATGTGGCCAAAATTTGTTCAAATAGTCAAAGATAATCGAAGGAGAAATTCCAATTCAAAGATTAGGAACTATTCCTAAGAAGGGGAATTTTCAATTCAGACGCTATGTTTGATCCCAATAATGTATTCTGAAAGTCAACGAAAATGCGACTCCAAGCTTTTTTTTCCTGCAAATGTTAGTATGTAAGAAAAGTAGGCTAGCAAGGGAATTGCGCACATGATAGCCTAAATATAGTGCGTGTTTGATTTTCATTTTCAAACGTAATTTTATCCTCTCTTCACGTTCATGTATTCATTTACGGAGAAGCTGATATTATTTACTTATGATAAAACGTGATTTTTCATGTCCAGACTCCAACTCAAACACGCTAATAATGAAGTTAAAATCAACAAAGTTTATTGCAATACATGTAGACCATAATTTCAAGCGAATAACATTCTATGACTACGCGTGTTGAATGTAGAACGAATCTGTTAACCTTGACTCGGTTCCCTTTTAATTTCCAGAAGAATAATGTCCTATTACCCAGTCATTATATTTTTGTGGTGTGGGATACTTCAACTCACCCAAGTCTCTACTATTATTGGATATTCCTGGTCAGTTTTATGAACCAATTTAATCCTTTTTATAAAAATAAAATCAAACATTACTATTTCAAGTATAATATTTTTAATAATTTTTTTTAAGTAGGGGTCAGTTACTTCCATTTTTCATTAGCGTATCCGCTATCCACCTTACAAATTCTTTAATTATGTTTTATTTTATTAATTTTTATATATTAAACATTAATTTTTTATGTTAAAGAAAATAATTTTTAGTAATTTTTCTTTAACAGAAAAGTTTGTAGGAATTTCTTCAACTTCTCATCTAATTAGATTACTATTTATCATAATTATTTATAAATAAAATATTAATATTTTAAATAAATTATCGATAAATAAAATAATTATGCATTACAATATAAATTATTTATTATAAATTTAAAATATTATTTATATACTTAAAAATATCTATTTAATTCCATTTATAGTTTCGGCTTAACCCTCCTTAATATAAAAAAACCTATTTAATATTTAATTTAATTTATTATAAATTTTATTTATATTTAATAAATATGTATGTGCATTGTACATGCTAAAGTATTAATTATGTATTATATTATCATATCACAATTAAACAACTTATAAGTAATTTATTATATTTTTATTTCAATAGTAAAAATTTAAGTAATCTTTAATAAAACTTTATTTTTGAATATGATTTATTGATTTTTTTAAAACTTAATTTGATAGTATAAAATATCTTTTTATTCATAAGTTATCGTATTTTTATATAAAATACGAAGCTTAAATTTAGGATATCTTTTGTGTTACATAAGTTGATTCCAATAAAAAAATATCTGGTTGTTCAAATATAACGTACTTGTAAAATAATAATGTGGTTTATACTAGTAGTTTTTTTTTATACTCTATCACGAGAGGGCAGCAAATTCAATTGACTTTCTCTCCCCACATCCTCCTTTTAAGTTAGAAAAATTGTTAAGAACATACTCAACATGTTCTTTTAAACACAATTTTTAATTAGTTAAAATTTATTAAAAATGTAAAAATCAGTAAATCTTACACTCGATTAACTCTTCCACTTGTGATGTGGTTTTCATTAAATTTCAATTATAAAAAATATATTTAAAAAGTATATTAAAAAATTATTACTAACACTAATCTTTTTTAAATTACGAGCATCCACTAAAATATCGTCGGACGATGTTAGAATGAAAAAACATATGGAATGACTCCAAACAAACACTTTGACAAATAGTTACCAAGTAACAAATATTAGAAAATAACTTTGGCCCTTATATTATGTGAAAAAAGAAAAAAAAAAATAGCTGTTATATTTGACTTGCTATTAACATGTTATCGAACGTATTCATGATTCCTTATCAATATTTTTTATTTAATATGAATTTTTTTTATTATAAGGTATTTCTCTTTTTTGAATTATGATATATGACTTCACAATTATTTAACACTTATTTTATATTGTAAATTATTAATTATTCTAAAAAAATGTTAAGGTTTATATCTTATATTATTTTTATTTATAATTTCAAAATCTAAAATATCATCTTTTTTACTACGTTTAAACAAGACTAAATTATAATTTTAATCTTTCTGTTATTTTTAATATGTAATTTTGGTCTCTTTTATTTAGAATAGAAAATTTTAATTTTCTAATTTTAAAATATTGATCCTATCATCAATTTGGCATTACTATTAAATTTTAACATTAATTTATGATTTATCACCACTCAACTGACTTATCATTTAGAGATAAATAATTAAAAGAAGAGGACATACAAAGGTTTGACAATAAAATAAATATAAATTACTTGTTATAATAAATATAAGTCTTTGTATTTTTCTTTTATTATTGTTTGTAAATGTTGTGTTATTTTATATCATGTTACCTAAGAGCATAAATCAATGTTAAAATTTAATGGTCAATACATATCAAATTAAAGGTAAGATTAAATTTATGCATGTTTAAAAATAGATAATTAAATGTCTATCTCTATTTTAAAATAAAAATTGAAAATATAATTTAATTTTTTAAATTTTATTCGTAGTAACAATTTCTATTGTCTCAAAATTTAATAATCTAATATTATTTAATTTAGATATTTAGATTATTCTTTTTTATCTAAATTATTTAATTAACAAACATGTTATCAATCGGCAAGTGGTTCTTTTAACTTAATTAATAGCATTTGATTCGAGTTTTGAGTATATAAATATATTAAATATTCGGAGAAAAAAAAACATTATCGCTCATTGTAATCCTATCCAACCTCAACAATATTACTTCCAGGAAAAAATACACGTGATCTGAAAAGAATCTAAATTGCTTATATTTTTTATTTAAGTCAAAAATACCCAAACTTGCTAAAGAAAAATCTTAATTCCTACTAGCGATAGCAATTGATATTTGATAAGTGCTTAAATTAAAAGATGGAAAGCAATATCGATTCATATTTGATAAGCGCTTAAATTAAAAGATAGAATGGTATTGATATATATATATATATATATATATAT